GGACTGCGGGCGGAGAAAAATCGTCGACCGGAAGTAGAGATTCGTCAACGCGGTTGCCACGACGGATGAGGACACCGAAAGGCTCGAGATTCCGATGGCGGAACCACGCTAATGAACCCGCGAGGTGCTGGACCAGCAGCGACTGATTTACATTCCGGTTAAGTGATTTCAGCCAGCGTCTCTCAACCTACGCCTTCCTCATCGACAGAGAAAATTGTTTGGTGGACCCCTGGAGTAGATACGATTAAATCAGGGACGTGAGTTTAATCAGAGTTTCTCAATCCCTTGTGTTTATTGATAAATGACTATTTTGAGGGTTAGTGGAGGAGTATAATTAAATTATGTGATGTAAGCCAACACTGTTCTTTTTCATCTTCATCGTTTCCTCCTCAAGAAAAATTATTTGGTGGACCTCGACAGTAGATGCAATGAAATTATGTAACTTAAGTGAGAGTTTCTCGATGTACACCTTCAAGAAAAAAATCTTTAACTGACCTCCAGAGTAGGTATTAAATTACGTGATTCAAGGGAGAGTTTCTCAATCCCTTATTTTTCTGGGTAAATGACTATTTTGTGGATTAGTGGAGGAGTATAATGAAATTATGTGCCATAAGCCAACACTGTTCTTTTTCATCTTCACCGTTTCCTCCTCAAGAAAAATTATTTGGTGGACCTCGACAGTAGATGTACACCTTCTCGATCTACACCTTCAAGAAAAGAATGTTCGACTGACCTCCAGAGTATGTAGGTATTAAATTACGTAATTCAAGGGAGAATTTCCCAATCCCTATTTCTTCCCTTGATAAATGAGTTTTTGTTAGGCACTTGCACAATTCAATTATTATTTGTTCGAAATTAAGAAAGTAATGGCCAAAGTAGTAATTTGTATTAGAAACGTGATTCTACTTTCACAATTGTTGGAGCATCACCACTCCTCCGGTTTCCGAAGTGTTTACCTATTGGCCTATCGAGTCCATTCCCTCGTGTCTTACATTATTGTTGAGGTGTACCAGAAAACCCATAGATCTAGAAATTGTGCCCAAAGCCGAAGCAAGCGGTGACTTTCTTGAAGAGCTGGTGAATCCCCTCGGAAGACCCCCGGGATTTGAGAAGCACTGAATTAAGGTAACCAAACGAAAGGCACTCGTTCAGCTCTTCTCGTTGCTCGTCGTTCTATAATGAATTTAATGAGAGAACCGTCCGCATCGTCTTTCTGAAACGCGAATGGAAGGGAGGTGGAGTACCTGGCTCCCGCGTCGTTCGACTTCGGTCCCGGCCTTCGGGGAACTGACAGGACGTATAATTAGTAATTAAATTATTCGTCGTTCGCGCCGAGAGCACCGGTAGCCGAATTCTAGACAATCAACGGCGATTTATAGCGATTCATAACGGGAGGAAAGTGAACGGCTGCGCGTTCGATTCGGGAGAACCTGTTCCGTGGACGATGACGTTGTCGCTACATCTGCTTTGTTACTTTTCGGCTGTTGGCTTCTCAAGGACCTTTACCACGGATGTCTTGTTGAGTGTTGTAACTTGTCTCGATAACCTGACAGACTAGCACGAATGATTTAAGCGGTGTACTGGGTGACTCGTGAAGTAAAATTAAATGTTTTCGCCGGTGGCAGCTCGTTCTCCACTTGGGGAAGGTTGTGGGGCGCACCTGTGTTTCATTTGCTGTCGAGGTGTGTCGGATACGATGTACGATTTTCCCCCAAAAAATTGTTTTCCGTTTATGTCACGGCGAGAATTTTTGTAGGATATTATTGTTATCATAATGGAACACTATGTATAACATTAGAATTATCGTTTATATGAAGTTTGAAACAGAAGACATTAAAAGTACATCCGAAGTGAAATTTTTCTTGTTGCAATAAGTATTGGATGCTCTCAATAATAAACAATAAGATTTTAACTATTTGTATCCGCAATTGCTTCAAATTTTTTTAGTATTTTTGTTTTCATGCAAAGAATGTAATGATACTTCTGAGACACGCCGTGTATATCATACATATGTATTTCATCGTAAAAGTGACAGCCTCGTTATTTTGTTTCTGCTTTCTCGTAGCAATAATTTGCTTCCAGATGAAACCGAAAGACATTGTACAAGTTTGTCGTCGTACACCTGCAAAGTTAATTGGGTTCGGTGTCGCATTGAGCGATGCCACTGCATTTGTGATATGTCATTTCTGATGTTATCGTTTGCGTATCGCTTGCACCAGCTGTTCTTTGCGTGACATTGCTGTGAATCTTTGACTAATAGGTATGCAGCGAAGATACGTGAGGCTACTATTCATTGGTTCGGTTACCTTGATTATAACAAGAACTTCGATTATCGTAGGAATCGTCAACCCTGGACCTGTAGTATCTACGACATTTCTAAGTCTTAATGACCTACTGAGCTATAAGAATCTCTTTGTTACCTCGTAGAATAGTCTTCCACTTTGATTTGAATTATATATATCAGATAAAACTACACAACTTCAAAGATACGCGAGGAGGATCGAGGATAAGTCGACGATTTCGTTCTTATAGTATACAATCGTCCATCGGCATACTAAGAATGATCAAAACAGACAAATTCATTACACCTGTCGTCAAGCACCCAGAACCCAGCGTGTCCATCTTCGCGTCTTCTTCCCTTTAACGAGACTCAGCATTGCTCCTTCGACAACAAAAGCCCCCCTAAACCCTCTCGATCAAATCCCTATCAGCCATTCACGCCTCCCTCTGAATCTTTCTCAGCTAGGGGAATCAGGAAACCCAGAAAAAACGAAATCCACCGGTGGCCAGCACCTCTGCGGGTCCTCTAAGCGGAGCATTCCAAAGTCAGCAGGTACTAATGAAGTCGTGAGAGGAGTTGGCCAAGGAACGGTGCAACAGGGTTGAACGTCCTCTCGAAGGCTCTGCCGTGAACGTGGGATAGAGAAGGACGGCCTCTATCCTGGATGATTTAGATTCCACCTAAACGATCTGTCTAACCGTTGGAGAAGGAGAGGCCCGGGCTTGACGGGCTTTCGGGTCGAGTTCATCGCTGCTCACTCGGTATAATGGATTTAATGAAAAGGTAGCCACTACCTCCGCCGACACGTCCTTCCTTCCTTCGGGACTTGCCACGGGGGAGCGTGTCCCTCCGACGTGTAAACGCGTACGCTCGGTGTCTCGGAGCGGGCGACAGCATAATGGCCCTTGGGAGATCAGAAACAATGGCGCCGGCACTCGAGAGGATAATGACGGCGAAAATTGTCAGTTTGTCGTACGGCGAGTGGCGTAAGTCGGTAATCACCGTTCTCGCAGCCTCGTTATCGTTCGATCAACGAGGATGCTACCGTGCGCCGATTCTCTCTCTCTGCTGAGTTAGGACCCACGGGCCTCTGAATGGCGATGGTTTGTTTTGCACACCTGGCCAACGACTTGTTTGCTGGACTTTGAGTGACTTGGAGCTGAGATTTAAACGCTGGAGATGGACAAGAGATGATGATTAGTGTTTGTAGACTGTGCTACCCTGGCGAGAGTTCGGTAACCTTATAGGGGATTATTTTAAGCTTCTTTGAACGTGTTATTAAGAAAACTCGAGAAACTTGTCTGTCCTAGATGAATTAGACGAGGAAGAGACGTCTAGCTTTTACTCTTGTAAAGATGAATCTGATTTTTCCTTAAATCTTGTTTTGCTTTAAAAAATAACATTGATCGGTGGAGTATCTATTTCTAGGCCACGAGGATAAACATCACCTTATTTCGATACAAACTTCAGGTAAAGAGTAACAGGTGAACCACTTTGATTTTATTAATCCTTTCACCGAAATAGCAACTGAATCACTGAAAATGAAACTATATTCAACGAAAGCTCGTCCAAGTCAAAATCAGTGAATATTCCTCGGCTCAAAATTTCGTCCATTTCTCCTCTTTCTCCTAATCCGGTGTTCACCTACAGGATCGCCTACAGTTTCCATGAGGAACGGTGACAGAGGTGCGAAGAAACGAATGGAACGGCTACCGTGATCGCCAGCTGTCCCTCCTGGATCTTCGACAATGAGGATCGAGAACCTTCCTTCCATGTTTTTTCTCCTTCGACCGCGTGTCGAATTTCGATAGACATTGTGCTCCGTTAACTTGGCCGAACGGAATTCCTTGTTTTCGGGGATCTAGGCGAACCGGCCGCCCTTGAAACACCGATATCGGATCTCCTGTCTGACGTTCGGGACGTCTGAACGCATTGTTCGGGGTCTCTGAATCGGGAATGGAACGCACATCCCCTTGGAGATCCATTCGATCGGAAGTCGTCTCTCTTCTGAAGTGTGAAAATCCCGCGGTTCAGTGTGAAAGAAACACGACTATTTAGAAACTTGGGTCGATGCCGGCGACCCAGTGTTTAATTTAAGACATTTCGGCCGGGGATCCCAAGGTATATCTAAACAAAGAGAGACTTTTGATCAGTTTCTGAAATATCGTTTAATTGGAGCGTCCTATAAGTGATGTTCGTTTAATTTTTATTTACTTAACATTGTCACGATTTAGGATGATTCTTACGAGACAGTAGAGTCATGTAATAAGATATTCCAAGTAAATTGTGCACATGGTATACGTATGTAACCTGTTACGTTTTAACTTAATTCGTTGGTCTTCTTGTGTAGATCTGTCTGTATTAAAAATTATATTAAAATTATTTCATGACTGGTAAGAAGTATCGAAGAAATACGTAAGGTGATCAAGACGAATGTCGAAGAAAATAAAAAAGGAATATTAGTAATAGGATAAATATTTATGAAAGACTTCTGCGAGGATTGCAAAGAAAAAAGAGCAAAGAAAAAGGAGGAAAATCGGAAATAGTCATACCGAGGGTGGTTCGAGAAACATTTGGTTAAAGTTTCCCAAGAATCACGAACGGAGGAAACGAAGAAGAAATACCTGAAAATAAGGACAGACGAGAATGTCGACATCGCAAAACTGAAGCTGGAAACGAGACAAGGGTCGGACGAGCGATTAAACGGTGTTCGGGCCACTTTCGAAGGATAATACTTAACGTTTATTTTGCTGTCTCACTTACAGTACAATATTTATAGGTTACTTCTGCCGCTTTAAATGTAATACTCGAATAATCGGTACAGTTTAAGATTTATCGTAACGATACAAATACAAAGGTTACACGTCGTACAGCGGGGCGTGAACGTTTCGCCAAAGCTCCCTAATTTTTCATTATAACATTCCTCCTCGCTCTCTCACTTTCTCTCTTGCTCACTCTCGCGAAACATCTATAAAATCTCTCTCACGTGAAATCCTTCAACCGAACGTACGTAAACAAAACAAGGAAAACCAACCGCGGGAGCACTGAGTGCTTTCGTTCGCGGGGAACAAACAAAAACGAAGTCGGAGCGAAGTGATGCAGAGGGGTAAATAATAGTTTGGAAACGCGTTTTTCGACGATGCATAGTCTTATCGGTGTCACTGGACGATTACACGCCATCCCGAGGGACCCTCGACTAGAAATAGACAGAATTCCTGTCTGGATGTAGTCCTGTCTCGAGTAAGGAGTAAATTGGTCGTTGGATAAACGTTAAAATTTCAGTTATGGAATGGAACGAATAAAAATTTAATCGTCACAAATAAATTCTTGTAGGATGAGTTTACTCGTTACTCGAATCAAATTTTGTCTGCTTCCGTCGACGAGTCCAGCGATACCAGCTCGATGAACAACGTATACAACAAAAAGTTTGGAGATAATAAATAAGCTAAGAGACTCTTTAACTTGGAATTAAACAAATAACAAATGTCCGTCGCACCGCGTCCGAAGCTACGCGTTCACGTGACATCAAGTCACGATTCTTGTTGCGACGTCGTCTCCATTTTATTATTAATTTCTTCATTTTTCATGTAAATAATTTACTTAAAAGCGCTGAAGAGTCGCTAAAATCGCGTCACCATGATCCATAAGTAGTTGTATTTATTAATTCTTGTGTTTTCATAGAGGTTCGTTTACGATAACACAGTTGATAATACAACACGAATGATTTTGGCGGCTCTTAACCTTTCGAAAGAAATTATTCGTACGAAAAATAACAGAATACACGCCGGAGGGAAATTTACACCATGACAACCCGTCAGCTGTGATTGGAACGTCATGCTAACGGGACATTCAATTTTTCATAATGGAAAGTACGTAACATACACAACGTCACGAATTTGAAAGTTGTGACACTCGATGTCACGGGATTAAAAGCTGTGACACTCAACGTCACGTGAAAACGGGCTTTAAGGATAGAGGGGACAGGGACCAACGACGATCGTCGTTGGGAAAACAGGAATGCGAGGAAAGGGCGCGACATACTTCGACGAACTGGAGGGAATCTATGTACAGCGATTACGATTCGAACGTCCGCGCGGAAAACGCGTTTCCTGTTCAGTTCCTGGCGCAAGAAAACGCCACCCATCTTGGGATCTGCGAAAGAGAATCCCATTCACCAGTCTAAAGCCGTCCTCTCGCCTAAACGATGCGATCGGACACATTGCAATAAAAAAAAAAGTGAAGAACAGAATCGATCCAAGTATCAAAATAATCGATAAGAAACTGTCAAAGATAGATGTTGTCATTATTGTTATGTATATAGTTACATAGACCCATCGACTCATCCAAGAACCTTCGATTCTGAATATCAAAATATAGAGATGACTGCGAGACAATTGTTTAATAAAAACAATGAAATTAATATTTGAAACAAACCAAACTGCATTCGTCCACGGATTCGGGCAATTTCCATCATCGCGTCAACGTACAACTCGTTCAGTCGCGTCGGTCAGGTACGACAACGGCCTAAGACTGCCGATGATCGTAGCAGGAGGTCCTGGCACCACGTGGGTGTCCTGGAAGATGTAGCTGCCTCGAGGCTGCGGGACACAAAAGAACGCCGGGAACAGGGCTGAAGGAAAACCGTTTTCGAACGTCGTGCATGTTAATAATCCTTGCTACGCTATTTACACGAGGACTATGTACAATTCTCTTTATAATTTCGTCCTGGAAAGGCCGAAACCTATGTCTGATAAATAATCGTTGCTCCGGGGGGTGATTAGAACGGAGTGTTTCAATTTCGTTGTTAACGTCAACGATGCGCACCGTTGCTGGCCCTGTTTTCGCATCGCGTTGGCCCATTCACGAGGTATCCGTTCCATGGGATGTGCATTCACGGGTCCTGGTCTTGAAAGTCAGAGCCGTTGGTCTTAGTCGCGGCGAGATTGAAGCTTCGAACCGTGTCACTTTACCGCGTTCTATAGAAATCGTTGCTCCGACTTGTTGGACTTTGAAGGAGGTCCGAGGTCTCACAGGTTGAACCTTTGATGCTGGATTATCAAGATACGTTAAGATCCTATAATATTCATTTTTCATTTCGATCCATTCGCGAAGACTTCGATAACAACTCCCTGTGTTTCAACGTGAACAAATACAAGGAAGCCTCTTCGAAGCCTCTTCCAGTCATGATCAGCTTTTCCTCGATCAGCTTCGTTATTCGCACCGCCAGGAACCCTGTTCCCTTCGTCGATCGACCTCCGGGTCATCGACGATGCACACCCAAACACCTCCGGAACGCGACACTTTCGGATCGGACTCTAGGGCAATTGCTCCTCGAAGATGGATCAGAGCTACGTTCTATCGGGTCAGAAGAGGACAGCCAATGGTCGTCGGAAGGACTCGTTTCCAGGTGCGGGGGCGGTTTGATAGCCGCTGTACTGGCTTATCTGGGGTCCGAGCAGGCCGCTACTTTGAACCGAGCCTGGATAATAAGCCGGTAGGCTCGCGCCAGGACTCGCAGCCGAGGAAGTCGACGTGGAACTCGCGCTGGACGAGCCTTGCTCGGTCCTCTCGTGTTGTTTGCTCATGTCGGGTGACTCTGCCGCTGGGGACCTCGTCGAACCACCCCCGCCTACCACGCTACCAGGGCTGGACTCCTCGTAGAGCTTGTTGTGCTCGTAACTGGGCCGATTGTAATCGACTATCGTCTGCTTCTGGTCCATGTAGAGCTTCGATTGCTCGAAATACGCCTTCGCGGAGTCCAGGTAGCTTCGGTCCAGGTACGATTTTGGACTGGAGTCCAGGTACTTGGGGTCCGAGTACATGCTCATCGCCAGGGTGCTGGGTGGCATGTAGGCGGCGCGGTACTTGTCCGCCTCCATGGAGTACTTCATCGCATCCATCGAGCTCACCACCTGGAACAAGGAAGAAATAGCTGGGTTTGATTCGTGGACTCCGGGAGTTTATATAAATTTTGGAGTCGGTACAGATCGCGTGGTAACGTAGACACAAGTTAGGTGTTGTTTGAAATCCTTGGCGAAACGTATAGAGACTTATGCCGATGATTCTATGAATGTTTATATGAAATGTGTTTGTTTGTGAGGTGTTAGAAAAATAATTCTGCTTTCTCTATAATCTTAATTATTTTCCTATGAATGATCATTCTCGGATAATTAATTACGCATCGAGTACAGCTCAAAATGCTATTAAAAATGTATCCAAAGTACCTTAGACATTAACAAATATCTACGCAAAATGTGCAGCCATCGTATCTACAAATTCGATTCGAATAAATAAACTACTCACGGAAAGACTTAATTTGGTCTCCCTATTCCACCCCTTAAATTCTAGTACCGCCCGAGGCTAATGGATCCCGTGTCACGTTTCCCGTCCGCCAATCAATTTTAATAAATCCATACGACAAAAAAGGATCCAGAGGAGTTCTCCTCGTTCGAGAGAGAAGCTATTTCCAGCCAGGCCTAAAGAAACGCCACCGAGGAGGGACGCATTCGCCTCGGTCCGAGCCGCAAATCGCGAAATCGGCGGATCCGCTACGAGGACGACCAAGAGAGCTCGGAGATTTGTTCTACGCGGAGGACAAAGCTGCCAATGGCTATAAATTTCATAACGGTGTCCCAACGAAAATCGCCACGTGAGAGAGGGGGTGTCCGTCCGCGTGAAACCGCGACGATACTTAAAAAGGAAAAGAAAGGGTCGACTCCATCGTGGAGGAGGGCGCGTATTCCCGATTCTATAATTCGTGGACGAGGACCGCGCAGGATCCTTTGTCGGATCGTTAAGCGGCTTTGTCCGGATGATTTACATCCAGTCTTAGCCGCCTCGCTCGTCTCACCTCCCTACTACGTCCAATTGATTACCGCTCGGTTCCTCTCGCCTCGAAATCCTCCTGCGAGAATCGCGAATCGGACCTTCGCAGGGCGACGTCTGCTCCCTGGGCCACGATGGATCCGGAAATTAAGTGTTCCTCGCATTCCTCGCAGCTCTGAGAAGCCCTGGGAAGGATCGCAGGATCGTTCGTGTTATTTATCGAATCTCAGGTGTCACCGGCGCTGTTAGCGAGGTGATCGATCGACTATTCGGTTATTTCTTACTCTTCGGTAACCGTTTTCGTAATTAGGAGTATTTTCGCTGCTGCTGGAACTTAATGCTCGTTTAATACAACGTTTCAACTCTTCCATTCGATTTTTTGTCAACGCTTGCTAATATGTGCACTCACATACATTTGGACTACCTGTGTCTCAATAACGAAGCCTCGCATTGTAAAATTTTCGATTCGTTTTGATATTAAGAATTAAAGAACGAAGGCTCCACATTCTATTCGAAGGCAAACACAGCCAATCACTTCATTTAATCTCAAATATGGGATTCCACCCCTTCGTCTTCATTCTCCCGCCTCTATGACCCTCGAATTACATCCAAACACCCGCTATCTCCCACATAATCTCCATTTGTCACCAAGAGGGAAGGAAAGCTCGGTAGCAACCTGAGTCAACTACCTCGGCCATTGCTCAGCCTCTCGGTGACCATGAATTTACTGCCGAAACTTTCCGAAGCACCGCCAGAGATTACTCTCTACGAAAGTTGCCTCCGACCGAACGGCTTCGAGGATAGAATGCACATAAATTCGAAGAACAAAATCCGCGTTTCAATCGACTCTCCGCTCTCGCGGCGGCATTACTCCAAGTCGGATCCATAAGGACGCGATGTGGGTGAAATATTGACGAGCCGTTGCAACAATGTCCTCGGCTGACTTTCTCGCTCCGGCAAACATTCCCAGCTCAGCAATGGAGAGTGGGGCCATTTGGAAAATAAAGTGCGCTCCTAGCAAAAGACGTTTCGCGTTCTGCTGCTCTCTCGCTCTCGCTCGGTCACTCCAGCTTTCCGCTGTGGTTCTGCATTTCTGTCCCCGGGCCCCTCTTCGTCTCCGACGACACATGGCGGCGAGGAGAATAGGCGCTTTTGTAAATGAAAACAGAAGAGAAACGGTACGACGTTATTGTACGCTTGAACGGCGACACCGTGCTGGTGCACGATAATTAAGTCTTGCCTGACGAGCCATGGACGAACGGCGCAAGCTGGGATGCTTTTTATCCATTTGACGCTGGCCGATCCACGGAGCCGCGGGTTTTTCGGTTCATTATTTTTGGCATTTCGTCGTTTCTGAAGATGACAGGTGATGGAGGTATCCTTTTTTATTCTTGAGCGGATTTGTGTTTGTTGGAATTAAGGCGAATAATGAATCGGTAACGTTCGCTGTTAAAGCAACAAAGCCGAGTGTGCTGTATCGATTCGTGTATATTTGAGGTAATATTTGATTGATACAGGTTCATTCTGTTGTATGTAATCGATAATCTTATTCAAATTTTACTTTAACGCGCCTTTGTATTCGTTCGATTGTGGCTACCAAAGGAAGGATTTGAAACATCAACACTGTAATACCCGGATCAAATAATGGTCCATAAATCGAATCGTATGCATTTGGGTAATCGTTGTTTAATATGAATTTATTCTACCGTATATTTCTGCCAGCTGTTACGTTATTCGAATCTCGTATTCGATGAACCTGTGGGTTACAATAATCGTGAGCTGCTATGCGAAGAATTTATAGCATTCAACCTGGGCATCGAGTATCCTGCAATTGTATCTTGTCAGGTCGTTTCAACGATAAACGTGGAAGAGACATACTCTTGACAAATCTCGCGCCTTATTTCGAAAATCCACAAAAAGAAAACCACCGAACATAAATATTCAACTTGACAGATTATCGAAATTCCTCGCATGAGTGTAAGAACATAATACGATACCTTAGCAGGTGAATACAATAATGGGCTGAAGAGATTAACATCAAGAACTGGTTCGTAAATTTCCAACAAATTCAGAAAATTCACAGAGAAGAAATAAATTATCCTGTTAAGTAACCTAATCACCATAGCAGATTTAAATAAGGCGCGTAAGATGGTATGAAGGCAGCATAGCGTATCAGTACGCAAATTAGAGTATTTACTGGCGTTTTCCTTCTTCTTCTTCTTCTTCCGTTTGTTTGTTTTCCGCATTGTGTATGTAAGATCTCTCTGTACGACGAACCGCGTGGCGAGAGTATAAATTTATATTTTTTGGAAACCGGTGAATATTTGACTGATCACTAATTGCAATGTAAACTCTAATACATCCGAACACCATAAATGAAGGATTCAATGCTACAGTAATATCTAATTCAATGTCAAATTTCAGGGCACCGCAGCTCATTCTTTCCCTCGGATCTGCTTTGTAACTTCTAAGTAATTTCTAGCTGCAGCTCCTTCCGGAGTCGACATCCAAGGAATGTACCCGAATCTTACGGATCGTCTCGAGTCGATGGATCTCCCGAAACGGATATCTTCAATGACGGGCCCCCAGCGACGGCGATGACGATGCCGTTTCGTTCCAAGGGACGATAACAGAAACGGCGTTGGAATTCTTCGCTCGTGCTCGCCGGTTCGCCAATAATAGTCGGGGCTGTATCGCGTCGGTGCGTCGTTCCAGACGCGTCGGCCATTCAGCCGTTGAATGCAGAAATAACTAGCTATCTGTTTGTCTCCCGTACCCAGCTGCGGAAATTCATACACAGACCACGGTCTCCGGTTTCTGTTTGCGAAGCCACCCGGGGGCCCCTTTGTTGCGACAACGAATGAAACGTACCTACGCTCGTCCTCCGCATCGTCCTCCTCTTCTTTCTCTTCCTATATCCTCTCTCGCTACTCCTGCTGCTTCTCATCAGCGATCTACCTCCCCTTTTTTTCTCCCCCTGTCGTTCCCTCGCTTTCATTCGGACCCCGTGGACGATCTAGGCCCGCGAGCCTCGCCACGAATCGAATCACGATCCGCGATATCCAACGACTCATTCGATTCGTCTATGAACCAATTATTTACTTTGTATCATGATCGGTGTATGAAGTATTTGAAACAATAAATTGGATCTTGTATGCACGAGGAGACCAAGTGGTCCGTCACAGGAATGTTCGCACTCCTTGAAGATAATGATTGTTCCGATTCAAATGCATGCTACTTCCTCATATGTAAGTCGACAAATAATTCTTCCTATTAGATTAGATTTATTATATTCTTTGAATACCCGAAGTTTTAAATTTAATACCGGACTTTTAAATCGAATTGTACGCTTGCAATTGGTTTGTTTTTAATATTTGGCTGTATGTATGTCACCACTCTTTGGAACAAAAGTTACAAAAATAAATGTCAGCTGTCAAAACTGTTCAAATAGTAAATACATTGATATTTTTAAAAATTTAATTTGGAAAATCAGATTTCTAAGGGATATACATTCATTATATAGTAACAAACTAAATATTACATACGTACAAAGTCCATTCAGTCCAAATAGTACTTTTCAAGAGAATACGTACTGCCTAAGGACAATGATTGTTTAACACAAACGAATGTCGAATAATCCTGTCTATTATCTAATGCAGCTATTCTTTCCGGTTTCAAAGATTGGCGAAAGAAATGGACACGCGAAGAAGGCGAATAAAATTTCGTCAGGGGAGGAGGCGATCCCGAAGAGACGCGTGAATGCAGCGATAAATCTCGAGATTCTCCGATCGGGTCTCCCGACGTCAAATTCCGCTGAATAGGGACGCGAAAGAAATAACCGCGTGGGTGGCTCTTTTCCGCTGGCATCTCGATAACGCTCGTTCCTACGTGCCCGCGTCTCACGCATTTTTCGTGGCTGACAAATCGCAATCGTCGATGCCGCCCTTCTCCGCGTGGACCGACCTCGTTCTCTAATTGAATCGTCCATTGTCGTCTCGGCGATCGTTACTTCTCGATTCCCTTCCACGGAAACTGCGGACGCTTTATCGCGAAACTATGGGGTTCTATGTTATATGAGCGATTTTGGAGAAGCTTCGAAGAGGAGTGTTAAAAAACTTCTCGTAGCTGGAACTTTCATAGCTCCAATTTCAAGGAACTACGAGGAAAGAAAATTTACTTTGTTTGCATTTCGACTTCCCATTTTCTAGATGCACCTTTGAGACGTTACATTTTAAGACACCTCACAAGGAATTCCCATATTTTAGGTACACTTTTGAAACATTAAATTTTAAGAAGTCTTGAAAGAAATAAAATTCATTATCTTCACATTTAATTTCCTATTCTCTAGGTACACCTTTGAAACATTAAATTTCAAGACACCACAAAGGAATTAAATTTACTTTGGTTTCCATTTCAACTTCCCACTTTTTAGATAGATCTATGAAATTGTAAGTATCAAGAAATCATAAAGAAATAAAATTCGTGCCCCTTACATTCAATTTCTCGATTTCTAGGTACACCTTTGAATCATTAAACTTCAAGTCACCGCAAAAAAATAAAATTTATTCGCTTTCCATTTCAACTTCCCATTTTTTAGGTAGACCTTTAAAACCTAAAATTTCAAGAAATCAGAAAGAAGTATAATGCATCCCACCCCCCCGCCATAGGCACAAGCAAATCCTGTTGTCTCCTACAGAGTTTTAAAAGACAACACGCGTTCTCTCTACTCATGCTTCCTTTTCCATTTCCTTTGTTCTAACGTCTTTAACGTTTCCAGTCATTGTCTTCTGAAAAAGGGGGAATGTTCCTCGTTGTTCGAAGCCTCGTTATCTATCGCTGAAAGTGCCACGGCACTTCCTCGTTTTTCGCAGCGTAACGGCACCGCCACGCTTCAATTGTGCAAACCATGAAAGAAAACGCAACGTGCGCCGAATCCGGCCGCGAGGCAAACTAAAACGGACCTTTCCGCCAACAATGCGCAATTAAAATTCCGTGCAACTCTGCCCGCTTTGTCGCAATATTTCGAACTATTATTCCCTCTGTATCGTTCCGCGTCGTCTCCGTCAGCCTAATCGCGACAAGGAAAACTGAGAAACGTGGCCTCTGTCCCGATGAACATCTACGATTTCTTCTTTCGACTCGCTTTGGTTCTCTGGTACTCTGGTTCTTCGTTCTTAATTTGTTCTTCCTCGATTTCCATTTGTTTCTATAGGTATGAATATTCGAACGATATTTAACGTCTAGAAAATTCAAGAAGAAGCCTCAATCTTAGACTCGATATTTCCTGTGGGGGTGGAAATGTCGGAGGAATTTCGAACGAGAGGATTGCGAGACACCAGCGGTGCGGGCATCGTGAATGGCTTTCGTTACGCGAAAACAAGTATTTATTTACTAGAAACGTCGACTCACCTGAGCAGGTGCTCCGAGACCGGCGGACATCGCCGCTGCAGACTGCTGGGCAGCCGCAGCCGCCGCTGCGGCCATGCTTGCTGCGGAGAGAGAACCATAAGCCGCAGCGGGACCGTAGTAGGAACCCATTCCAGCTTGTCCCATACTGCCAGCCATTCCTGCAACATATAATTAAAATAACATGAAGATAACAAGAAATATAATATTTTGCATCAGTCGAGCATCGATTGTTACAGTCTTTAGGTAGTTCGTTGAAAATACTTTTCAGGCGTCGTGCTCTTAAAAATTGTTCCAACTGCTAGCAATTTGTAGAAGATTTGTAACACAATTTACGGTATCACATCTCTGACTCAAGAGCGGAACCACTAAGAATTTTCAATTTTTATCTTGACTGGTTTCAGTTTCTATCTTCGGACACTGACTGAAAATTTCAAAATTTGAATTTAATCTGGACCCAAAATTCTGGATGGACAGCATTAGTTCATACATGGAAAAATATACTCTCTGACTTGAATATTCCAAGGATCTGCGATGTGTGTAAGTTGAGTTATAAGCTTCAAAAGAATTCCAATAAATAAATTCCAATCAAATTTTAATTTGTGCAGAAACCTTCTAGCCAAGTGTACATCTACTGTTTGTAAACGTTTGCAAACTTCCTTTGAAAATATATAATAACACATATAAGCAGGCAAAGGGTGCCCACGAGATCTACAGCTGCGTATCGATCGCGAGAGCCTAGTTCGTTTTCCCTAAACGCGATCCCGACAATAACGCAATCGATCGTTCCTTCATCTTCGATTTCGACCTTTCGACGATCGACAATGCCAATGATTAACCGAACAAGCGGGCATTTTCGTCGAGATTAATATCGAGAGCCGCGCGTTCCTCCGACGTGTAAGAGCGTCGGATGCTTATCGATCATCGTCGCCGAACGACGGAAACGCGGCGAAAAGAATGCCTATAGCAACGAACCGCCATTGTCGAAGCGTCGTGAATCTTTACGGTGACGAAGAAACGTCCAAGAAGAAGGTCGTGGATGATTGGCGGCGAGATTTATGACGACCGACAACGAGGAATTCACGAGCATCCGATTATTAATCGTGCGATTTTGTAACCTCGCGTTCCGTGGTCTTAGGTCCGTGAAAATTACGAAAACGAGCGTAGTATGTGGATAATAGATTTAAAATAATGTAACAATAGTAGGTCTTTACAGTAAAGTTTGTTTCGGAGATAGTATTCGGAGGCAGTATCCTACAAATTTTGTTATCATTAGTTGAGATGAAATTGTAATTCAAAGTAGCGAGATTTACAGTAATTGAAATGAATGTTAATATATACAGTCTGTCTCATAAGAGCGTGTTGGCTATATTTCTGTGAATGTTTATATATTTGTACAAAATTTTATAAATTTTACTTCCATAATGAAGTACAAACTAAGAGGAAGGTGTATCACCGAAATAAGACCAATTGTACACCATATTCGAAAGATATGGAGGTCGTTTCCAGCATCTTACCCTGAAAGGTTAATAGAAAGCATGCCGAGACGGTGCCAAGCTATAATTGCTAATGGGGGATATTGGAGACCTTACTAGGTAAATGAATATTAATGTTTTAAGTGTAAATTCGACCCATGTAAAACTTTGTACAAATATATAAATATCTACAAAATTATAGTCGACACGCTTTTGTGAGACAGACTGTAACACAACATGGATGGATATACATATAAATAACATAACCCAGATCTAACCGAAAATCAAATTGCACGAATTAATCGAATTAATTATTCTCGTCCCTTAGTGAAAATAAGTAAAAGCACCATTCGTATGAATTTATAATTTACATCTTAGAAAGCATGTACCAGAAAAACTTGGTAAATTAGAAAAAGACGTATTTATAAGAAAAATCGGAAGAGATTCGTCCGACTTTCGAGCCCAATTTCAGCTATAATTATCCGCGAAATCGTCGTCAATTGCGCCTTATCTCCCGTGCGTCCCGAAGTTGGCTCGCACAATCGCTATGAACAGATGTTCGATGGATTGGGCGCGTACACACGAGCTACACCCCTCCCTCTTTCCGTTTACACAGATTTGTTTGACGTTCCAGCCTCCTCATTGTTTTCATTGTTTCCCGTCTCGTACCGGATTACATAATTTTGAATTTCTCCGCGGCGCTCCCGGGTCAAAGAAAAACGGGAGGGCGGAAACAATGGCGCCGAAATTATGGTCGTGAATGGCCCCCAGGTCGGAGGGCGGCGAACGAATAATCGATGCACGAAATTTCCATTTGGTCGCAGCGCGGGAACAAATAGTTCACGCGAAATCGACGCCGCGACCAGAATATGTATCTGGATTCCGACGAATTTATCGAGATTCCCGGTGATTAGATTCCGGTTAAATGAAGTTCACTTTTTCCACCGTTCGACGAGGTGCGCGCGCGGAATGATCACCGGTGGTAGTCGATGAATCAGAAAGTCGAGCAGCTCTTTCCGTTTTTCTTGAAAATTTTATTTCTACGCTTGAGATTCTTTTCGTAGTAATTTTATTCGTTCTAGTCTTGCTATCCATTCGTACTCTTTCATATCCGTTCTAATTTTACGATTTAGTAACTCACCAAATTACTCGTTTAATTTTCTAATCGTTCCTCTAAATTGTACAAACTTTTTCATTCGTTAATTGTCGCACATTTCCTCCTCCAACAAGATCTTTGAAGTCCCCTATAAATCCTGATTATAAAAAATATAGAAGACAGCAAGAGACTATTGAACATCTACGCAACAATCGGATAAAAAAAAAAAGGACCTCGATTAAATCAACGAAAAATAATTAAACCAACCCTATACTGACTTTCATCTCAATGAAGCCCTTGTCAAACAACAACGATAAAAAATGCAAAACCACGCGAAAATCTACTAAGTCAGGGTTCGATAAAAAAAAATATAAAGGAAGCAGTCACGCGACGGCTCCGACGTTAATTTTCAAAAACACGGGTCAAAAGTCAGCGTACACAGGTCTGTATCTCGGGGATCGGGGCTCGAAGCGCTCCGTATAAATCGTCGAATAATTCCCTTCGGCGCGGAAGGGTAGCGCTTCGTGGGGGCAGGATTCATTAGGTTTACGCACGCGAGAGCATAAACATGTCGGTGGCCCATTATTTATCGAATTGTCTTAGTCCACGACGCTGTTACGTACGAGGTCGCCTACGATTTTGCCCTGGGCCCTTCGACGGAGGCACGTGACTATGAGGGCTTGGATTATAAATTCCTCGTTTTCTTTTTTTCTTTTTTGCGTTGGAGGTGATCGAACGAAAGATTCGAAAAATTTACACGCGATTTCGATAAGAGGGGGCGATAATTGGATTAATTTTTCATTTTACTCGACGAAGCATCGACGACTGAGACAAAGCTCGTTACGTAAGGGCACAGGTTCGTTGTTTTAATTAATGATAGTATTATTGCGACGGCATGAAGACGCTCTTACGAACGAGTGGAAACGAGTTCCCGTTCTTCCGATTGCCAAGAGCCGGGAGATATTTAAAATGAGAGTTTGGTGTCAGACTTGCTTACGAATGCAAGTCTTTACTATATTTCAAAGTTTGTAAGGTATCGTTGTAAATAAATATTCAAAGTTATTGTCGACCGTCGACCCCTACGGCGCAACAGTATAAGTATCGATTCGGTAAGAAATCGCAATCAACGAGGGTGTCTTTTATTGGAAGAGGGTGGCCTCTTCTTCACGCAGTACCCTTATTATCATCCATACTTGTTTTATGCTTTTATTGGAATATTCCGATGATAGAATTCATACAAATAGCGCAGTTAATTTATGTTGATTTATGCTATTATTATCAACAGCAATAGGCTCCTTGGGATACGTATCACTAGAATTACAGAGGTGAATACTAAATCGTATCTCGAAATAGAGATAGCATTTAACGCAAACAAGGAGGAAAGTAGAAATCCGACCAAATGTAGAAATGGCGTCTCCCCTTAACTCACGCGCTTAAGTCGCTATCTGTGCGAGCGGAAACCGCGATCAGAAATTCCAGCCTAAGCTTATAATTTATCCCAGTCACCCACGCACTTGTCTTATGCGCGTGCCACTGTGCGGGGACGTGCTCGCCAACAGCCGAGCCAAAACAGGGACAAAAAAGGGTTTAGGTAGAACGAGAGACGGGAGTAGAATCGGTAGCCCGATTCTCTTGTAACTATTTTCGAATACAAATGGCACCTTCTGCATTAAACATTTGGAGACAGTTCGCAAAGATACTATGAAATGCGAGAATTTAAAAAATTGGTATATTTATATGCCAATTCGAGGAAGGATACTTATTTTCCTGGCTTTGGAGTCGAGGGATAAACATTCATTATTGTTGATTGCTTCAAGTACGACGCAATGAAATAAAATGCAGTGTGTGTAAATTATTGACGTTCAAAGTAATGTACAGAAAAATATACAATGAAAATGATAGACAAGAAAGTTTCTTGAAAAACTTAGGAATAATATTCCAAAAGTGTACATTATTGAACATTGTGTGATAATGTATTAATTCCGTACTGTTACTTCGAATGAAAAATTTGGAGTAACTATATTTATAATGAGCTAAAGACAGGTGAGTTTTATACGAGTGGAGGGATAAATATTCATTATTGTTGATTGCTTCAAGTACGATGCAGTGAAATAAAATGCAGTATGTTTAAATTATTGATATTCAAAATAATGTACAGAAAAATATCAATGAAGATGATAGACAAGAAAGTTTCTTGAAAAAATTAGGAATAACATTTCAAAAGTGTACATTATTGAACATTGCATGATAATGTATTAATTCTATTCTGTTACTTCAAATAAAAGATTTGGAGTAACTGTATTTATCATAAGTTAAAGATGGGTTAATTTTTGATACTAACGATTAGTTTACTTATCGAAAACTATCAGATTGCGATTAAATACTCGAACCTGTTCCAGATCTGAATTTAAAGTTCAAAAATGTCTACTTACGAAGAGAGTGGATGCTTCCAGAGACTTAATGGGACAAAGTAGCATGTCGCGAAGGGGTAGAAAAGGGAAGAGTCCGAGGAAAGGAGGCAATGATAGTGCCCGAAGAATGGAGTAAAAAGATAAGAAGAGTGGACGCGGAGTACGAGCGATAAATCGAGGATTACCGATCACTTTTCGAGGCGTCGCGTGGGCGAAGAGATAAATTCAGGCTTTAATCGGGCCGTCGCCGTTGCCGGAATTAATAATTTTGTTCGGTTATGCTACAGAATCACGGCGGAGGGCTCGTGAAATGCTCGTGAACGCGATCACGTGGACGAGAAAACGAGTTACGAGCCCCCTCGCGCCATACTCGTTCCGAAACATTCGACAGAATTCAAATAAAACGACGTCGATCGACTGATAAATCGAAGAGGTTACTCCGAATAAAACCATAGAGATAATACAGCCCTTAAGCGATTTAAACGAAGTGGCACTTACGAAAGACTCGAAAGGAGTAATGTTTCTAATTAGGTAGATATTTTCCTGAAGAACGTTTGGTAAACGAATTAAACTGTAATAAATTTAACGAGTAATAAATTTACAAGTTGCCGCGATATTACTAATTAGGAAGAGACTTTGCGAAGAACCAGCGTTTAGTAAATCGATCTGTGATAAATTGAATCTCGAAGTTTCCGCGATATTTCGCTTTAAAATGCATGCAGAATTTCTGTTGATGATTCGAGTGCAAAGATGCCTCGATATTTGTAATGCATTCATAGACATAGCTAGAAAAGTTCATTATTGTTTCAAGAAGCACCAAGACAAACATCACTGGTACAGTCACCGTATTTACATATCATTGCGAACAGTTACAGTGAACAATTATTAGACGTTTCCATAGAAGAATGAAAAGTAACATTCCGCTGGAAACTATTTAAAAGTTGCACAGGACATTATCCTCGAAGGTTATCCAAACTATATGAAAGACAAATTGTGGCCCTGGCACGTATTAATAAAACAGTATAATATGTTTCACAGGTGTTCGCATTAATTTACTCATTCTTTGTACTCTCGAGCTTCTATTTCCAGTTGTAAACACATCATCAAACAATCAACTACAATCTCCTACTCGCAAATACTTGCAAGTACAACCTCCAACGTATTAACCCTTTGCACTCGAGGCCTTTCTTTTTGGTATCTACCAGCATCTCGAGATGCTTTCTCAGCATTCTATTGCCACGAATGCTAAGATTATATTGACTTTGAAAATGTGATCTCTAATTCGAGATTTGAGAATCAGGTCATCTTTGCCTCAACGGCAATCATTTTATTGGCACTTCGAGTTCCAAAGAAACTAAACCTGAAGAAAACCTAGTGGTGACTGAGAGTCACCTCTCGAGTACAAAGGGTTTAACCTCCATTTCAACCTTAACCTCTACTCCCCAAAGGTCACCTCCTCGAAAATATGTTAAAACCCGTATCATCCCACATTGTTTGCCCCGATGCGATCATTTACACTAGGAACCGTTCAAATCCGCCTAATCTTTCGACGATCTAGCGACGAGACACGCTCTACGTTCCCACGAAGTCGAGAAGAAAGAGCGCCATCAAGGAAAACCGAGCGAGCGTGAGGTCATCGATGATCGCAGTTCAAACGCAAGTGTTCGTCTCGGTCCGCGACTGTTTGCCCAAGTGCATAACCGACAATAGCTGGACGTACGCGGGCAGAAAGGCGCGTCGGGAACGCGTCTTTGACGCGAAACGGGCAACGCGCGAACCATTAACGAGACGCTCGAGAAAATGGCAGAGGAAACGAGAGTCGGGGGCGAACCTCGAAGAAATCGCCATTATAAGACTTCCGACCACGGATCCCGGGGGGCATCGCCGGCAACAATACGGCTGAAACGCGAGCCGAAAAGATAAGAATATCAAAGCCCTACCAGACGAACTGTTCTTTCCCTATTGTGCTCCGGCCGCAACTGGCGGAGCACACCTTCGAGTCCGTTGCCGTTCTCTTGGATCCGCGAAGGATCGATTCCGCCTTGTCTTTTCCTACCATAATCGCATTGTCTCGCCGATATCGTAATGGCAGACCGAACCGGGACAGATAATTGCGGAGGAGAGCCGAGAGTCTTTGGTAATTGCAGGAGAGACGTTGGATAGAGAGCTTGGGGGAGTCCAATTGGAGATGGAAACGGAGTATCGATAAGAAAAATTAGTTTGCGATTGACTGTGTGGCGATGGACAGGTTTCGAGTTGGAAACGTATGGTAGGTTAAGGAAGATTCTTGTTTGTCTGTAGCCTTGGGTCTTTTGGAGAGTCATAGATTGATAGGTAGGGTACAGACCTAGATTTTAGGTAATAGTCCCCGACAATTACTTCACGCGAGAATTTTTGTAAACTTACCGATTTATTCCCTTATCGATAGGTCTTAGATCTGTTCCATGTACTGTATCGAAAGTAGTGTAAAACTATGATTTAGGTTGCCATGACTCTGAATTTAAATCGTCTATACAATTACGCTATCTAATTAATATATAAATATTACATATTTCTATTCAAATTTATTTGTTTTAGATTCTCTTATAACTCCCATTACTTGACTCCAATACCGATCAATCTTTATAGATAAAAGCATGGGTTATTTAATTTACCAGAGCGTTAATATTAGAGACTTTTATAATAGAATGTTTCCAAAGAATGTAGCTCATCAGTTACAGATTCTAATATAAATAAATACAGGCATATTAATGCTATTGACGTAGAAATATTGATTCAATGTGACAGTAGCTTTCTTTGAAAGACAATACCGCAGACGAAAAAAGAAATTTAACGCTACCTAACATATGAGAAAAGTATTATACAGTAGTACTGTATAATATAGGTCAAAGTTTCAAAGTAGTAGCTTTTATGTTTGGAAAGATCGACTTACCAGCACGAAGCGCATCCATGGGCACGCTCGGGTACGGAATGCTGTAAGGGTAGCCCTCCTTCCGCAAGGTTTTTGGCTTTCTTCTGGGCCTGTATTTGTAATCAGGGTGTTCCTTCATGTGCTGCGCCCGTAACCTCTTCGCCTGATCGATGAACGGCCGTTTCTCGTCCTCCGTGAGAAGCTTCCATTCAGCGCCTGGAACAATAGATTTCGATAATTAGAATCGGCGAATTAACAAGTTCCAGCGTTGAAAAGTTTCAGCCCCGTTTGGAGGGCTCGGGAATTTTTCCCCGACGAAACTCGATCGGGAAGTGGAATTTTAACGAGAACTGTGGAAACATACGGGAGAAGAATCGATCGCGAGCAAAATTCTTGTGAAAATTTTCTTTCAGAAGTTTCAGTCGGGGAAACTTTTATAACAGTTTGAACTCTCAAGACTCCCCACTTTCGAAGGGTTTCGGTTCCACTTGGGTCAACGCTAACCCCCGATATAATACCAGAAATTGATCCTCTTTCGACGGAGGAAAATGGAACTAACATTTTTCTTTCGAAACGGAGATGAAACAATCGCCACTTCAAAATTGATATCGCTATTTAAATCAACGTAGGATACGAAAGCAATTTGCACGTACATAATACTCTCGAACGAATTAGATTTAAGAACTATACTAAGGACAGTTACGTAATGTAATTAACCAAGAATACGTAATAAATTCCAACGGTCCTGGAATCTGAGAGGTAGAAATGCAAGTGGTAAGAAATTTGAAATGGACTTGCAAAAAGTATAAAAATAGGCAACACTGAAACACTTCACCTTACCATTGAGGCTCGAATAATTCCTAAAAAATGTTAACGATACTGTTCCTACCAGAAACAATGTCTCTAGGACAAATAGGAGCAACATAGTCAGATCATCGCAGAACCTTCGAAAAAGACACTCACGGTTATAAAGCAAATAGTAACTACATCTCGAGACTCCGACATACCAATTTAACGCACTGGAAACAGCCCATCGAGCATCCCCAATTTTAATCCGTATAAATAATTTTCTGAATACCAAACGAGCGATTTTTATTCGTCGATAAAACCGGGCATGGAAAAAAAGTGTGGCATTCGCGAAAACAGAAATAGGGACGCGTCGCGATCGAGTGGCTCTCGCGTGTTTGCGGTCTGTATAAAGCAGTTTGCAAACGAACGATAGGCACTTGGATAACGCGTCCGATCAATGAGTATAAAAGGCATTTGGACGCTGTGTTTACCCGGTGAAACGGCCGTGTTGTGTGCCACCGCCGGCAGAACCAGCCGTTATGGCTGAATTATCGACGAGCCCGCGATCACGCCTCATTTAAATCCGACTCGTTGACGATTGTCCGCGCGGAAAATTGCATTTGCATTTTCCCGTCGAAACTCCTATCGAACGACTCGTTGTTTGTATCGTTCAAGACGATTGTTCTCGTCGCGTCATCACGGTTTGCATGGGAAGGGAAAAAAAAAGCACCATTAACGCGTTCCTCGCTGCCACGTGAAATCGTGTTTGTATGTTGGGATCTCGTCTTTGAAATATCTATAAAATGATTACTGACGATGGAATTATTGGCAAAATTTATGTAGCCTGGACATCCACATTTAATAGGTCAATTTTTTAATAAATATTCGAGATTGAAACAAAGTTTGTAATAGAATATATCATCGAAGTTTTTCTTTTACAATAGCTCACGATAAAAACAGCGAAATAAATAAGTACAATTTAATTTAAACCCAGAAAGTACTAAAGCAAACGTCGGGTCTGTCACGGAAAATCGCGAAACGAGACAGTAGGCACGAGGAATGAAACAAGCATGGCGACGCGTTCCTCGCAACCAATTTTCGCGTGTAAACTGTTTGACGAGCGGGAGAGCCACGAAGGGAGAACGCGACAGAGAAAAGGGAGTCGTTCGCCCCGAAACAACCGATGTTTTCGCGGCAAAATGCTCCAACATCTCTCTCCTCTTTCCACTCTTGGTCGTCGTTGTTCCTTCGGCGGTAGAAGGTCGATTGTTTCGCCGAGAATTAATTACCACTTGTTGTCGGGGGTGCAAGCTGTAGCGGCGCGGACAAAGCGCGAAGCGCTTGCATCATGGAAACGGAGCCCGGGGTTCAAACGAGAAACGACGCCGACGCCGTGCGAAGTCCGTCCTCTGCGGTTGCAGCCGCGAAACAAAGGGCGCAGAGGTTGCCCCCAACTCGAGCCAACAATGGTTGCCAGTGTCGAGAACGCCTGGCGTCTTTCGAACGACGATGTTTGATCTCGCTTAATCGGGGAATTGGAAGAACTATGGTTTGATTGGATGCCGTTTGATTCACGATGAAAATGTTTGCCGGAAGGTTTTCACGCGATTTGGAATTTTTTAAATGGCTCAGATACGACGATCGCGTAGAATGTTTAATGAAATTAAGGTGATATGTATCGGGGTATCGGTGTCGAAGCGTTTGAAGCCTTTCGTTTACCGATGTTTAATTCTGTCTACCGGATCGGGGGAGATTTGATAGCTTTGATTTGTGATAGAAATGCCTGGGAAAGTTTTGATTGTACTCGGCTTCAAGTTTGTGTCGTCTGACGTCGTTTGATTCGTAAGGAGAATGTTTGATGAATACATCTCTTAGTCGTTCAAGATTCAACATTTTCGAAACGATTTTACGTGCCAGATCGCAAGAGTTCTAACATTACCAGGTATTCGTAAATAGTCAACATGGCTTGGAAGACACACATTTCCGTAATTACGAAGAAGTTGGAAATTGGGTTGCTAAATGGATAAGCTCGAAAGATAAATTGTTCTTTCGTCGCGGAATTCAACTTTTGCCAGAAAGGTAAGAAAAAAGTAGTAGCTTTTGAGGGCAAATATTTCGATTGATACTTTTATATTACTATTGAAATAAATGCTTAAAAAATACGAAAAAACAGTGGCTTTCAATGCAACCTCCTAATAATATTACTCGATATAATTAAGAACTCGTTACTGTTTAGTCAGATACGTAACGCTTCGATGCACGTATCCGAATAGCAAATATTGCGTAACAACCAAAGTTCCCGGTGCTCCGAAATCGTACGTTTCAGGCCACGAGAAACCACTCTGTCCCGCCTCAAAGCCCCACGGCCGGAAGTTCCAAAAAATATTCAGTTAAAATTGAACAGGGAACGCGAGTTCCCCAAAGGAGAGGGAAAAAAAAAGGAATCAGGCCAAGGAGAGGCGCGCGACAGTAATATCAAGAACGAGCACGTTCCAGCGGACACACAACGGCCATGCCGGAGGAATCGCTCAAGGGGGATGAAAGTTCTCGATACAGAGCGGAGATACACTACCGGAAATTCGAGGCGCACCGGTGCAGATACGAGGTGGAGAGAGGATGGGATTCACGTTGCCCGATGGATCTTTTACTCTCCTCGTTATTGTTGCTGACAGCAGCCAACAACAATGAAAAGAGTTGCTTCGTCTATAGTAGAGCACACACAGAGAAAGACGGGGAAGAATGGCGAGAGCGGGCTAAACAATACGAACACGTGGTGATTCACAATGAACTTCGTGGAACGAGAGAGAACCGGAAGGAAAAAGAGGAAACGTGGAATCCGAGATGTTTGTCTTCCGGGACAATGTGGAGCGCTGATAACGCATTCGAGTCCAGCGACTGGTGTCGGACCATTCTTAATCCCTGTGCGGAGCGTTTCCAATACGTTCGGAGAATATGGAAAGCGCAGATTCCGGACGAAGATGGGCGAAATCCTGATTCGAGCACAAAATTTCGCGTGACGGATGAAAGGTAAGAAAGTCGCTCATTGCACAAATCGATGGATTCCATAAAATATTTTTTAAAACTCCCTTTATAACATGAATTCAAATAAATATTGTAGAATGCATAAATATAGATGTAGCTTTCATTAAACGGTATATAAAATTCATAAGATAGAATAGCCAAAAAATAATCGTCAGTAATATTACAATTTCTATGTGACCAGTGGAGTTAATTGATTTGTTTCAACGGCTCAAATGTTGAAATTAATTGGACGGGAATGGCTTCACGGTGAAATGTTAGGTAAAGTGTTCGAGCCATACAAGCTTGTGAATAAAACAAAATATTTTAGCTGGCTGAGATATAATTAAAAAGATACTTTGCCTCTGTTTTATCTCTCATTTTGCAGTCACGATTAGTCACAGCTACAGTCCCTGAGGAATAAAATCGACATCTAGCTTTCCAATCCAAACTTCGCCGAGAATCCTCGACCAACAGCCTCGGATCTCGGACAGAGCCGTCCTCGCCACTATTCTTAAGAACCTCGAGGATCACTCCTCCCCGATCTTAGACATCGTAGCTACTCGTCACGAATTCGATCGATCCTCGAGGACGTTCCGACGCACATGCATCGCCGACGAAAGGGGTTTCCTTCTCCGCTGTTTACATTATAGCCTATCCCAATCGATACACGTTTTCCCGTCTAAAAGGCAGGTGCCACGAACGAACAAGGGACCGGTTGGAAAGGGGGCGGTGGTGTGGAGAGGCGACGAACAGGGCTGGACGGGGGTGGAGTCGGCGTATTTGTTTAGAACAAAGGCTTCCCGGCACCGGCGGTATTAGTAGGTAGGTATTCTCGGCCAGTACTCCTTCTTTCTCTTTCCGTGCTTTCGGAGGGGACCCACGACGACGACTACGACGTCAACGACGACGACGACGACGACGATGAGGACCAAGCTTAAAGCACAATGGCGCCTGCTTTTCAGTCCTTTCGCTGGCGAACAATGCCGTTTATTTAACATCGTTTAAAAGTACAAAGCCTGTTAATTAATGGACGGGGGTCGAAGGAGAGAAACGAAGCCGAGGAAGAGGAACCAGTAGCGGGAGGGGGTGGTCGGAGAGGACAGCCATGGCGACGGAGCCATTGCTAGCGCGGCTCTTACCACACCACCGACGCGCGCTATTGCTCTGGCATTGCTATTTCTGAAGGCAACCCGGCATTATTTAGTCCACTGCTACCAACCCACCGGCTCCTTTCTTCCCTCGTTCCACTCCTTTTTACCCGTCCTCATTGTCGCGGGGGGAAAACTAGGCTACTACCGCCGCTACTACCCGGCCACTGTTTTACTCGTCTTCTCGTTCTTTTTTGCCCCTCCTGTCTACGGTTGTTTGCGTTTGTAGCTCGCGTGCCTTCGTTGTCGAGGGAACGC